TCGACAAATCGATTCGCCACCATTTGGCAGATGGGGCAGCGGATGGGGCTGGCTGGCTGGCGAATGAATCAGTTCTTGTCTATTTACTCCATTAGTTCAGATCAGATCGGATCAGTTCGGTTCATAAATAAATGATTTATGTTGTTCCTGGGCACTCGCCAGCCAAGGGCACGTTTGTGTGTGGATGTTTTATGAAAATCCAATTTTCGTTAATTCTGAGAACAAAAACATGGTCATTACCTACACACGAACCTCCATTCATCATGTTGTGTTTTGTCTGGTTCTGTGTAAATTTCAATGTTTTTAATTTAATTTTTATGAATGGCCAGCCAGCCATTTGACCTTGCCAAATGTTCGAAAAAGACACAAGAAGCAAATGCCACCCACCACCACCTCCAATTTTTCATGTTTCTAACAAAATGGCTCTGCGTATGTGTGTGTTTATAAGTTGGTTCGGAATGTTCAGCTGAGTTCATTACATGAAACATTTGTCTCATGTAAAGCAAATAAAAACATTTTTTCGTCTAAATATCAACAAATGGCGCCAACTAAATTGGACCATCTTCGTGTTCGTTTTTTCGTTTGTGGTTCTTGCTGTTGTTGCCAATCTCTGCTCCTCTGGGAACGATAGAGAGACAATTAAGATTTATTCAAGCGTAAAAAAGTGTTGAATATGTCCCAAACTTTTTCTTGGAAATTCTAATGAAATTAAAATCAAGAGTCGGCCGCTGTAATAAATTTCGCCAGTCATGAAGTGCGGGGAAGCCATTAGTCATTCGGAATGCCTCATTATTTTGGAAATTTATGGGACATGAGATGTCTTTTTGAATTGCTTCTGGGAGAGATTTGAGAACTCTTGTTGAATTATGAAGAATATTTTCGTAATCAGGAAAAAATTTTAATGGGTCTTACTAAATAATATGATAAGAGGTTTCCCTTATATTTTACCAATATAATTTTTTATAAGAGAAGGCCTTCAAAATTTGACCTAAACTTATTAAAATCACTTCTAGTATACTTATGGAATTCTATCTTCTTTTAAGAAAAGGCCTTCTAGCTTTATAGGAATAGAACTTCTGGCCTTTTAGGAAAACGCCTTCTGTCCTCGCTAGCTCTTCCCAAAGAATTCTTCCCCAAATTTTATGAGAAAAACTTTAACTCTTCTCAAAAAACGGCCTCTTCGCAAAGAAGTCTTTTAGCTCTTCTCAGGAAATTTTCTTAGATATTCTCAAAGAAATTCTTTAGCTCTCCTGGGAGTGGACTCTCAGCACACCAAGGAAATGTCTTTTAGGCCTATGTGAGAATATGCTTCGCATATAAAAATACATCCGTCTAATCTTCTGGATCTTCTAGGAGAAGACCTTCAAATTTCTCAGAGAACAATTTTATCTTTTCTAGGAAAATACCTTCCGCTCTTCTATGAGATGGAAGATCCTGTAGTTTTATAATGTATTCTAAGAGAAGATGGACTCTATGCGAAAGGCTTTTGCCGGCAAATATCAAGAGATAATGAAGCCTTTCAAGAGAAGACCCTTAGAACTTCTACCTTCGGTCTTCTACGGGAAAACTGTCTAGACTTCTCGAGAAGATCCTGCCGTTTTCTATGTGAATATCCTACGGCATTCTAAGAATTTCATAAGGTATCTATGAGAAGAGCCTTTGATCTTCTGGAAGAAAATCCTGAAGCCCCTTAGGCCTTCTATGAGAAGACCCTCCAGTTTTTATGAAAAAGACCATATGGACTTCTATGAAGAGAAACCCTTTCGGTCTTCTCTCCGAAGACTCTTTAATCTTCAAGAGAGGACACCTCGGTCTTCCGTTAAAAAAAAACTCCGGCCCTCTATGAAAAGCACCTACTCTCTTCTATAAGACATTCAGATTTTCTACGGTCTTTTGTGGAGAAGACCTTCTGCTCTTCTATGCAAAAGACATTCTGGGCTTTAATGGAGGAGGCCTTTTGGTCTTCTATGGAGAACAACTTTTAGTCTTCTATGACAAAGCCCGCGGTCTTCTTTTCTACGGAAAAGATCATGAGAAGACCCTTCGTTCTTTTAGAAAAAGACCTTTCGGTCTTCTAAGAGAAGATCCTTCGGCCTTCAAAGAGAAGACCCTTCGACACACAGACCCTTTGGTATTCTGTGAGAAGACACTTTGGTCTTTTATGAGAAGGCTCTTTGGTGTTCTTCTGGTGTTCTATGCAGAAAACCTTCTGGTCTTCTACGGAGAAGACCTTCTGGTCTTCTTCTATGGAGGAGACCTTCGGTCTTCTTCTATGGAGGAGACCTTCCGGTCTTCTTCTATGGAGGAGACCTTCTGGTCTTCTTCTATGGAGGAGACCTTCTGGTCTTCTTCTATGGAGGAGACCTTCTGGTCTTCTTCTATGGAGGAGACGTTCTGGTCTTCTTCTATGGAGGAGACGTTCTGGTCTTCTTTTATGGAGAAGACCTTCTGGTCTTCTTCTATGGAGAAGACCTTCTGGTCTTCTTCTATGGAGAAGACCTTCTGATCTTCTTCTATGGAGAAGACCTTCTGATCTTCTTCTATGGAGAAGACCTTCTGGTCTTCTTCTATGGAGAAGACCTTCTGGTCTTCTTCTATGGAGAAGACCTTCTAATCCTCTTCTATGGAGAAGACCTTCTGGTCCTCTTCTATGGAGAAGACCTTCTGGTCCTCTTCTATGGAGGAGACCTTCTGGTCTTCTTCTATGGAGAAGACCTTCTGGTCTTCTTCTATGGAGAAGACCTTCTGGTCTTCTTCTATGGAGAAGACCTTCTGGTCTTCTTCTATGGAGAAGACCTTCTGGTCTTCTTCTATGGAGAAGACCTTCCGGTCTTCTATGGAGAAGTCCTTCCGGTCTTTTATGGAGAAGACCTTCTGGCCTTCTATGGAGAAGACCTTCTGGCCTTCTATGGAGAAGATCTTCTGCCCTTCTATGGAGAAGACCTCCTGGTCTTCTATGGAGAAGACCTTCTGGCCTTCTATGGAGAAGACCTTCTAGTCTTCTTCTATGGAGAAGACCTTCTAGTCTTCTTCTATGGAGAAGACCTTCTGGTCTTCTTCTATGGAGAAGACCTTCAGGTCTTGTTCTATGGAGAAGACCTTCTGGTCTTCTTCTATGGAGAAGACCTTCTGGCCTTCTATGGAGAATACCTTCCGGTCTTCGATGGACAAGGCCTCTCGGTCTTCTCAGAGACGACCTTCTGGCCTTCTATGGAGAATACCTTCCGGTCTTCGATGGACAAGGCCTCTCGGTCTTCTCAGAGACGACCTTCTGCTGTTCTCTGAGAAAACTATTTGTTCTTCTCAGAGAATACTGACTGCTATTTTCAGGAAGATCTTCTGCTCTTCTCAGAGAAGATCTTCTGCTCTTCTCAGAGAAGACCTTCTGTTTTTCTCATAGAAGACCTTTTGCTCTTCTCAGAGAATAACTTCTGCCCCTCTCATGGAAGACCTTCTCTCAGAGAAAACATTTCTGTCTTCTAAGAGAAGGCCTTTGGGTTATTATGGGAAGAGCCTCCGATTTATTATGAGAAGATCTTGTGTGAGAAAGCCTTCCGCGCTTCTTAAGCTCAGACAATCTTTCTAGGAGAGCAATTTTAGCCCTCTTAGGAGAAAACTTTACGCTCTTCCAGGTGAGGAGCTTGAGAAGAACTTCATCTGTTTTAGAAAAAGATTTTCAGCTCAGAAGGAAACCTCGGGTACTTTTTTATGAGACGTTCTAGAAGAAGACTGGGTAGTCTTCTTTAAGAATACCTTCTGGCTCTCTATCTTTTAATCTTCTATGAGAAGACCTTTAGGCCTTTTATGGCAAGACGTACTCCTATACCTCTTTATATGACCTTCTAGAGGAAGATCTTCCATCCTTCTGTGAGAAGATCTGTTCTTTATTGTGTTTTTCTATGAAAAAAGTCATCTGACTTTAAGACTTCTATAAAAAAAAATTCCTTGGAATACATTCCACGAATATATTCTCCAGTCTCCCCATTAACATTTTCAATATTGATTTAATATTATATTATTTCCATTATATTTTATATAAAAATGCAAAAACATGTGGATTATCCACACACATATTTTTTCAATTTAATCCATTTAATATTTGCACTTTTATCGGAGGAAAAAAATAATTCGCCATAGACTTTAAGGCAGACATGCCAAAAATATCAAAACATATTTTTTTCGTTGTTCCAAAACAAATAAAAATCGTATACATATATTTAAAGTTGTGAAAAATAATGTGTGAAAGAGGAAAAACAAAAACACCAACAACAACATCATCATCGCCGAGCAAAAGATAAAAACCTGAAGGTCAATAATTTTATTTGTTTGACGCAAAAAAAAAAATAATATTTTTAGATAAATATATGCCCCAATCTTAAGAGGAGAAGCGGAGGTAATGCTTTTACAGCAATGTGTTGTTGTTGTTTTTTATTGTTAATTTTATAAAAATTTGTGAAATTAACACTTTCGTCATTTGTAATTTAACACCCCATTAGTGGGGCCCGTAACGACAACAACAACCACAATAACAATTTAATCGCTACAAATCGGGTGATAAAAAATGATTTGATTGATTTTGGCTAGTTTTGGAAAGAATCGATGAAACGACACAACAGCATAACAAAATGATTGGCTAAACCAGTTCTAGAAATTTTATCCAAAAAAAGAAGAGAAAAAAAACTTCAACAAAAGTGTTAAGAAACATCGGATAACAAAAGTAGAAATATTTTTAGGCTTTCATAATATGTTTGTTGTTGTTGTCAGATACAACAAATATGGTCGGAACAACAAAAAAAAAAACATGGGTGCTTGTCTGTTGTTGAAAATCAACAACGGTCATATTCTCTGGGGAGGGAATTTTTAGGCGTCCCAAAGTGGCAACAATATTTCTTCATCACCTCCAATTGCGGATTTTTTTTTAGACAAATCAATTTGTCATTTGGAGTGGTTTAATTTGACGGATTCTTTTTTGGAAAATATTGCTACTACGTCTCACTTACCTCGATCATTGCCCTGCGTCAGGAGAATCTGTGACTCCAGCTCCTGCAGTTCCGATTTTAGCTCGGCAATTTTATTATTGCTCTTCTTGACAATGGCAGCAACATCGTTCAGCGAACGACGATCTTTGGCAACTTCGCGCAGCTTCTCTGCGCCCTCTTTGATTTTCAACTCTTTTCGTATTTCTCGTCGTATTGCTTCTTTGATATCCTCCAGGCGGCTGGGCAGGCCACTTTCGGGCAAATTGTCTGTGAAACCATATTTGTAGCTTAGCTCGTAGAGGACAGGATGTTTTATGTAATCGCCCTGGAATGGGAAAGAAAAGAAAATTAGTAAAAAAACATTTCTTTCGAATTCTCCTCAAATATTCCCTCAAAAAATACTTTTAAAACAGATTAACTATTTTTTCGTTTTTTATCAGTATTTTCATTTTGTTTATGTCGCTGATAAGTTTTTTTTCCTCCTCTCTAAGTTCACATAATAATCAGGGTTGTTTAAAAAAAAAGCTTAGATAATTTTGGTATAACAAAATGCTTGTTATTTTTTCTCGATAAGAATTGGTATTAATGTCAATGACAAATTTCGTCGGAATTTGTTTTTTTCATGGTTATCATTAGGCCTAGGAAAACAGGGCAAGGTAACAGAAATTGATTTGTAATATTTCTAGATAAACCTATCGGAATCAAAAAATATGGACACAATAATGATTTATTGTGTGTTTACATAGAGATGGCGCCCAACGTGGGGGCTTCAATGTCAAATATAACCATATTAAAATCAACAAGTAAAAAAGCAGCTAAGTTCGGCCGGACCGAACTTTTTATACCCTCCACCATTTGGAAAAAATTTAAAAATTTAAAAAAAATCCGTCGGAAAATACCTCTCAAACGAAAATCGTTATATGGGGGCTATACAAAGACGTGGTCCTGCATAGGTAATTTGTGTCATAGGCTGTAGTAACTGTTCCGAAACTTATATGCGAAATTTCAAATAATTCCGGTGAATAACGTCGCAAAAGTCATCAAAATAGCGATTACGGGGAGGAACAGTTATGTAGGGGAGACATGATATCGTTGACCTATTTAGGCAACTCTCTTCCAGGGGGTAATGTTCTCATAAGGAACTCCTTTGGAGGATTTTAAGACAGCTCCATCAAAAAAATTAGGCTGAAATCATCAAAATACCGAATATTGGGGGTACTGTTATATGGGGGATATACTATATTTGGGACCTATATAGACAGTTCTCCTTCAGGGGGTAAAGTACTCACAACGAACTCCTTGTGTAGAATTTTTTTAGATAATTCCATTGAATAATGTGGCTAAAATCATCAAAATACCGAATATCGGCGGGTACCTTTATATGGGGGCTATACGATATCGTGGACCTATATAGAGAATTCTCTTCTAGGGGATAAAGTACTCACTACGAACTCCTTGTGTAGAATTTCAGACAATTCCGTTGAAAAATTTTGCTAAAATCATACCGAATATCGAGAGGTGTTGTTATATGGAGGCTATACGAAGACATGGTCCTGCACGGACAATTTTCTGTCTTAGACTGTAGTATCCATTACGAACTTCAAAATACCCAATTTGAAACCATTCCGGTGAATACTGTCGCTAAAATAATCAAAATACCGAATATCGGGAGGTATCGTTATATGGGGGCTATACGAAGACGTGGACCTGCACAGACAATTTACTGTCTTAGGCTGTAGTATCTATTACGAACTTCAAACACCAACTTTAAAACAATTCCGGTGAGTAATGTCGCTAAAATCATAAAAATACCGAATATCAGGATCTGCTGTTATATGGGGGCTATACGAAGGCGAGGACCTGCACACACAATTTTCTGTCTTAGGCTGTAGTATCCATTACGAACTTCAAATACCAAATTTGAAACAATTCCGGTGAATAATGTCGCTAAAAAAAATATCAGTATATTTGGCGATTATTGAGATTTCGAGAAAGATATTGGTAACAATTTCCCAGGAACGTTCGGTCAGACAGTGGGAACTTGGCTGCATTGACAAAGAATTTTACATTGGCGTCTCCGAGAACTATTTCGAGTCGTAGAATGAGGAATTTAAATTACCCACCATTTTCTGCCGGAGGAAAAAAACACTTTTTTGCATGGCGCCCAACGTGGGGCTAGCTTTAAACATATAAAAAATCAATATTAATATATAAGCCGAACATTGGGATTTGGAGAAAGATATGTAGTGATTGATTTTAGTTTTATTTTGAATTTACCCATCGTTTTGTGGTGGAGGATACAAAAATACACGTGTGTGGCGCCCAACGTGTGGCTGGCGGAAAAAATATAAAAATGGCTTTCGAGAAACGTATTAACGGACTTTTGGTCAGTGAGAGGGACCTTGGCTGCATCGACAAAGAATTTTACATTGGCGTCTCCGAGAACTATTTCGAGTAGCGGAAAATGGAGTGGGGAATTTAAATTACGAACCATTTTCTGGGACTAGCATGAAACATATAAAAATATCAAGGCGATCATTGGGAATTGGTGAAAGGTATTTTATTTTGCTTATAGTTTTAACTTGAATTTACCCAACCATTTTATGGTGGAGGGTAGAAAAATACACTTGTGTGTATGGCGCCCAACGTGTGGCTAGCGGGGAAACATATAAAAATATCAATTTTAATAAACGATATCATCAGTGTATTGGGCGATCATTGGGTTGCTAACAATTTCCCAGGAACTTTTGGTCAGACAGAGGGACCTTGGTTGCAATGACAAAGAATTTTACATTGGCGTCTCCGAGAATTATTTCGAGTCGTAGAATGAGGAATTCAAATTACCCACCATTTTATGGTGGATTATAGATAAATGTACTTTTTAGTATGGCTCCCAACGTGGGGCAAGCTTGAAACATATAAAAATATCAAGGCGATCATTGGGATTTTGAAAAAGGTATTTAGTGTTGCTTACAGTTTTAAATTTAGTTTAGCCATCATTTTATGGTGGAGGGTAGAAAAATACACTTGTGTGTATGGCGCCCAACGTGTGGCTCAAGGGAAAAGTTATTAAAATATCAATTTTAATAAACGATATCATCAGTATATTGGGCGAGCATTGGAATTTTGAGAAAGGTATTTAGTATTGCTACAATTTCCATGGAACGTTTGCCAGAGAGAGTCCTGAGGCCCGGGTCCCGCCAAGAGGCTTATTTTGGTGGAAATTTTACATGGAAAAATTAATTAAAGCTGTCTTATCCTCTGAAATGTTTTCGTAATCCCAATATGGGGACTTCCCAGCAATTCCCCTGCACCTAAAATCTTCAACTGCATTCCATTTTGCCAGGCATATTGCAAAGCACACATGTTAGCCTCCTATCTGCACTTAAAGGGGATAATTTTTTTCCACTTGCATAGCCACCAAACACAACTGTAATTGAATTAATTTTCATGGTCACTTCCACGAAAAAATAATAGAAAATAAAATTGAAAAAAACCCCACCAGCAACAACAATGGAGAAAATAACAAGTGATGAGATATTGATTAGACGATGGCGGTGGAGAGAACTTGGATGCAAGTGAAGGAAAAACTTTTTTTTTTTTTTTGAAGAAGAAGAAGAATAGATTTTCATATATAATAGAAAGAAAATAGGGAACAAAAAAACTATAGAACCCAATGTATAATAGAATAGAACTGAAAACCAGTATGGACAGTTATGGCAAAAGTTTACACACACTCAAGCTTAGCTGGGCTTCTATGGCGACGTTGAAAAGGAACAAAAAGCAAAACAGAACACCTCATATTCCATGTGGCTAGCTGGCTGGCTGGTTGGTTATTTGGTTAGATGATTGGTTGGCCACTGTAATTATGGTATGATGAACAACAGTTCAGTTTAACAACAGTTTATATAATTTCTTGGCCACAAAAAAAAAACCAACAACAATTTCATTGGATTGCAATAACATGAAAAAAAGAGCACAACTATTACAACATAAGAAGAAGAGTAGCCAGCCAGCTAGCTAAAATTACCGTTAGCATACTATGTGATAAAAAAAACCTGAAGAAAGAATGGACTACCTCAAAAAAAAAAAAAAAAAAAAAAAAAAAAAAAAAAAAAAAATCTGCAAGATCGGCCGGGCCGAACACTGAATACCCTCCACAATTAAGAACGAATTTGGCGATTAAAAATAAAATCGGTTAAAAATTCTGTTAAAATCTTAAAAATAAAGAGCCGCCGTTATATTAGGGTCTAAACGACGACGTGGACCTGCATAGGCAACTTTTGTCATTAGCCATTACAACATTCAAATACGAAACTTGAATACCATTATAAGGGGCTATACCAAAACGTGGATCTGCACGGACAATTCTTTTTTTATAAGCTGTAGTATTCATTACGAACTCTAAATACCAGATTTGAAACAATTCCGGTGAATAAAGTCGCTTAAATTACCAAAATACCGAAAATAGGGAGGTACCATTATATGGGGGCTATACGAAGACATGGACCTGCAAAGACAATTTTCTGTCGTAGGCTGCAGTATTCATTACGAAGTTCAAATACCAAATTTGAAAAATTTCCCGAGAATAATGTCGCTAAAATCATCAAAATACCGAATATCGGGAGTTACCGTTATATGGGGGCTATATGAAGACGTGGGCCTACATACGAATTTTTTTGCCATAGCCTGTAGTATCCCTTACGAACTTCAAATACCAAATTTGAAACATTTTTGATGAATGATGTCGCCTAAATCACCAAAATACCGAAAACAGGGAGGTTCCGTTATAAGGGGGCTATACGAAGACATGGAGCTGCATGGGCAATTTTCTGCTATAGGCTGTATTATCCATTACGAACTTCAAATACCAAATTTGAAACCTTTCCGGTAAATAATGTTGCTTAAATCACCAAAACACCGAAAATGGGGAGGTGCTGTTATGTGGGGGCTATACGAAAACGTGGACCTACACAGACAATTTTCTGTCACAGGCTAAAGTATCTATTACGGACTTCAAATACCAAATTTGAAACATTTCCGGAGAATAATGTCGCTAAAATCATCAAAATACCGAATATCGGGAGGTACCGTTATAATGGGGCTATACGAAAACGTGGACCTACACGGACAATTTTCTGTCATAGTCTGTAGTATGCATTACGAACTTCAAATACAAAATTTTAAAAAAATCCGGTAAATTATGTCGCTAAAAATCATGAAAATACCGAATATCGGGAGGTACCGTTATATGGAGGCTATACGAAGACGTAGACCTACATGGACAATTTTCAGTTATAGGCTGTAGTATCGGTCACGAACTTCAAATACCAAATTTGAGACAATTCCGGAGAATAATGTCGCTAAAATCACCAAAATGCCGAATATCGGGAGGTACCGTTATATGGGGGCCATACGAAGTCGTGGACCTGCATAGGAAATTTTTTGCCATAGGTTGTAGTATCAATTATGAACTTCAAATACAAAATTTGAAACAATTCCGGTTAAGAATGTTGCTGAAACCATCAAAATACTGAGTATCGGGAGATAACGTAATAAGGAGGGTATACGAAGGCGTGGACCTGCACAGACAATTTTCTGTCGTAGGCTGTAGTATCCATTACGAATTTCAAATACCAAATTTGAAACATATCCGGTGAATAATGTCGCTTAAATCACCAAAATACCGAATATCGGGAGGTACCGTGATAGAGGGGCTATACGAAGACGTGGACCTGCATAGACAATTTTCTGTCATAGACTGTAGTACCTATTACGAACTCTAAATATGAAATTTGAAATCAATCCGGTGAATAATATCTCAAAAATCATGAAAATAGCGAATATCGGGAGGTGCAGTTATATGGAGGCTATACGAAGACATGGACCTGCACAGACAATTTTCTGTCATAGGCTATAAATAGCATCAAATTTTAGAATAAGTTTAGATTTGTTCGAATTGGTCACCTTTGGTACGAATTTTGACCTTCAAACGGCCAATGAAACCGTCACACGTTGCCCGAATGTTGAGGTGATGACGGAAAATGTTGTCCATATAAAAATGACATGTAATATTTTTCTTTCTCTATTTTTGCATTCGCTTTGTTGTTATTTTCCTCATTTTTGCCTCGACCCAAAGGGGGGGCGAAGAAAAAACATTTTTTTGACATACCAAGGATTTACAAAAGGTGGGGGAAATTATGCTCATGAAATGTTGTGGAAGAGTTGTTGATAACTTGTTTAACATGATCGATTGCGTTCCCCACGTTGGGCGCCATTTAGGAAAAAATGGATGATTATAAAGTTTTAACGAAGTAACTCACTGAAAGTTGGCGGAGGATGCATTTTTCAAATGTTTTTTTTTTAAATAAAAAATGAAAACGGCGCAATTTGTACGAATTTTCTTTCCACAAATTTGTAGGAACGGATGGAATAAAAACTTGTTTACCATGATCAATTTTTTATGAGTGAACCCCACGTTGGTCGCCATTTATGGGAAAAATATTTTTTTTTAACAAATTATAAGAAAGATTTGAATGGGCCGATAAATTTTCTGAAAAGAAGTATAGATTGCATTTTTCATGTCATTAACTACAAATTTGATATGTCCTATGTTGGGACACAAAAATGTTTGCCATGCTCGATGATTGTGAGTGTACCCCACACGATGGGTGTCATTAAGGAAGAAATAAATTATATTTCTATAGATTTAAATCTAGCCTATAAATGTTCTCAAATACACTACGGATTGGATTTTTCCCGTCATTAACAGCAATTTTCATGTGCCCCAGGTTGGGCGCCATTTCGAAAATATTTCCTTCCAGAAAATGGAGAAAAAGTTTTGTAAAGCACATATCTATCATGATCGATTATTCTGAGTGTTTCCCTTTTAAAAAAAATGTTTCTTTAAAACACTCTAATTAGGTCAACTAGCCTATGAGGTTGCCGATTTTCCAATTTTTCCCTGCACATTATTATGATTTTTATGTGTTTGTTTTCTCTTTTTATTATGAATTTCTGGGAGATGTAGAGAGTCTGCTAGGAATAATCGTTTAAAATTACTCTTGACTTGAAGTAGGCCCCAATTTGGGTAATATGGATAATCTAATATGGTTTGATATTTCCTCATATCTATCTAAAGTTGAGTAAAAATTACAATTATGCTCCAAATTAGGAGGCATTTGCTCCACTTTTTCTGTGTGTCATCGAAAGTTCCTTAAATGTATGATAGTTTGATATAACGGGCTGTGTCACACGTTGGGCGCCATTTGGGAAACATTTGTTTATGGAGGGTTTTTATTTTTTTTTTTATTGAATAAAAGCAAAAAATATCGGAAATAGCATCAAATTTTAGAATAAGTTAAGATTTGTCCGAATTGGTCACCTTTGGCACGAATTATGGCCTTCAAAACGGCCAATGAAACCGTCACACGCTGCCCGAATGTTGCTCTGCGATATTTTGGCCCATTCCCGGCGACGCGCTTGCTTGAGGTGATCGACACTTTGGTATTTTTTAGTGCCAACCTTGTTTTCCAAAATAATCCAGTCACAATAGTCCAACGGATTGGTATCCGGAGATTTTGGTGGCCATTGAGCGCTGGAAATGAAGCGAGGCACCTCATTTTGTAACCATTCTTGGGTGGCGCGTGCTGAGTGCGATGGTGCTGAGTCCTGTTGGAATGTCCATCACCAAGGCCGGCGCTTGAGTTCAGGTGGCCAACCGGAGGTCCACATTTTCAGCTGACCTCTTTGGCAAGTAAACACGATCATTTTGTTTGTTTTCAAACTGCTAGACATCGAATGTTTTCTCATCGGAGCGGAGAAAACCAAATTCGGCAGTTCACCACTTTCGGCCAAGCGAAGCAACACTTTAGCTTTTTTGAGTCTATTTTCTTTCTATAGCGGTGTAAGTTCTTGCACTTTTTGGAATTTCAATGGCTTTACCCCGAGCTCATTTTTCTATATTTGCCGAATGGAATATTGCGATATGTTCAGCTCACGAGCCAATTTTCGGCCACTGTGACGCGGGTTGCGGATCGATCAAGTCGCTTCTTTACTTTTGGAACCATTTCTACTGATGTTGCCGGTTTCTTCCGTCCACTTCCTTGATGTGGGCTACGCTACCAGTACCAGTATCACGGAAACAAGCGATGGTACGAGACACAAAAGATTTATTCACATTTAAATGCTGGAGTGCTCTAACGATAGCCACTTGTGGTTTTCCAGTCAAATATAAAGAAATCATACTATCACCCTTGAATTCTGGTGGCCATCAAGAATAACTTTTTTCTGGAAAATTCTTACCATAATGCTTTTGTACGCCTGTAAACAATATAATGAGCTGTCACTGGAATAATTTTAACAGCTGTCGGACGAGTGGCTTAGAAATGACAGCAGTCTTAAGTTGGTTGTAGTTTTTTCATCTCACCCTGTATGTGCACGTGGCGCCCCAGATGGGACACTAGCAGGAATTCCTTTTTCAACTTAAAATTTCACTTTAGGGGGTTTGACTATCAATAAAAAAAATTCATATGAGCGTGACCTAAATTTGGCGCCCAACATTGATAGGAACAGTTCCCCCTTGGGCGAGTACAGGTTTGAAACAATAATCGACTTATGTCTGCAAGGGGTGTCAAAATCAGTTTGGGAGCATTTTGTGTACTTTCCCAACTGAATCACATTTCATCTTCTTTATTCTGAAGAATCTAATTTAAAACCAAATTTTTTACCCAACAACAAAAAAAAACTTTTGCCAAAAAATTACCTCTGTATCGGTGTCATAGAACACCGACGATGCATGTGTACTGACGGTGACACAGACAGTGCCACGTCGCAAGGATTTCAGTGAACCCTTTGAGATTTTTCGAACACGTATCGATTTCAGCGAACGCGAACGTTGCAATTCCATATCCGGTGCCGAGTTATGGCGATGACGTGGTGTTGTTGTGGCCGATGCAGGTGTCGTCACGACACTGGGTGTTCCGGAGGGGGGTTTTTTGAGGGGTGAGGTATTGGAGGAATTTTGGGAGGTTAAGACGCTTAGGTGGGTTTTAATGCGCAAGTATAAGTTATGCATGTGTGTAGAGTTGAGAATAACCCGGCGGTATTTTGGTATTCAATTACATGAAATTCAGCGTTTTTTTTCGTGGTGGCAAGTTTTAAGGCAACAACGTTGTTATGGCACTTTTTGTTGTTTTTGTTTTTGTTTTTTTTTAACCTTTTTTGGTTTATGTTTTTTAATACTCATCACAAATTTATCATTTTGGTATTTTTGTACTTTTCTTAGTCATTCGAATTCTAAGGAAAGTTGAGAAGAGTAAAAACATTTGTAAACTTAAACGTGTTTGGTAATAATTCTGAGAATTTTTTTCATTTTAATATTGTTGTTATTATTTTTACTGTTATATTAGAGATTACACACAACGTAACAACTACTCAACAACTACTTCCTCAGTTAGGCCTGACGAAGTTTTATTTCTATTTCATTTTTTCTTATTTTTTTTTAAATATGGGCCACCATAGCTTGTCGTTAAACTTGTTGTGCCCATTAATCGCGGTTGTTGTATTAACTTAAAGTGTTTTATGTTTTTTATTTTCGTTTAATATAAAGTTGTTGTTGTTGTTGCTTTGCTGATGTTCCAATGGTGGTCGTTTATTTGGTCGCCTAGTGGTTTATTTTTTTTATGGTTTTATTTTTTCTGTTTTTAGTTTTATTTTTTTTTTATAAATTTTAAACTTTAAGTTGCGTCCCTATTGCCGGACGACGTTACGGAATACAATTATTTTTAGAACGGCGCGCTATGCACCGTTGACGAGTTTATTGTACTTTAATAAATGTTATAAATAAATACACATATTGTATTCAAATGATTTATAGCTTTGAGAAAGGGTCACTAGGAAAATCGCGATTAAAATAAATAATGAAAATACAAAAAAAAAAAAAAAAAAAAAAAAAAAAAAAAAAAAAAAAAACAAAGGGAAAACAAGTAAAAAAAATCAAAGGAAAACAAGTAAAAAAACATTAAGTTCGGCCGGGCCAAACTTTTAAAAACCTCCAACTAAGGGTATAGGAAACATTAGAGCTCATTATGACCCACAAACACCAATTTTTAGACATATTCGTGGTAAATGTGGCAGAAATCATCAAAATACCGAATATCGGGAAATACTATGGGGCTATACAAAAACGTGGATGCAACTTTTGCCACCGGAGCTAGAACCCAATTTGACCTACAAATACCAATTTTTAGCCAAATCCGCGAAAAAATGTGGTAAAAATAATCAAAATACCGAATATCGGAAGGTACCGTTATATGGGGGCTATACCAAAGCATGGATATATACATACAATGACTCGCCACACGCTCAGGGACCCGTAAAGACCTACAAATACCAATTTCCATTCAAATCCGTGAAAAAATGTGGCAAAAATCATCAAAATACCGAATATCGGGAGGTACCGTAATATGGGGACTAAACCAAAACGTGGACCGATATATCTCATTTTCAATACCAACCATCCTAGACACAATACAAATTGCTCTGCTAAATTTTAGCGCTCTACGTCAAATAATGTGGGCTGTATCGTGATTCAACAGACAGACAGACGGACAGACGGACGGACAGATAGACAGACGGACATCGTCAAATCGACTTAGAATTTTATGCTGATTATGAATATATATATACTTCATGGGGTCTACGACGAATATTTTCCAAGTACTATGCACGTTCTATGCTCAGGGTCTTTTAGAACAGAAAACTTTAACTTAGAATAAAAATTAAAAAGACCTGCAGCTACCTAAGTGTATTTGATAAAAAAATATTTAAGAGTCCACAGAATTTTAATAAAGTAATCTTCGGTTACTCTCAGGGGACCTGTACACCTCGAGTTTAACCACCGTTTTTAAAAAAGCTCCTAGACCTATGAAACCGTGCTTTTTAACCAAGATTTTTCATAGGTCTAAAACCTATAAATTTGGGAGGAACTCTGAGCGATAAAATCACGGATTGTTTACTTATTATTGGGGACTAGAGAACATTAGACTTTCAAAATAGTCAGGTTTTAAGTAACTATTTTTTCAAAAACAAATATCGTAAATTTTATTAGATATCCCAAAAATTGGGAGTATTTTTCTCATACACCTTAAATTTTGATACCCCTCAGCCATATGGCAACAGAGGGTATAAACATAATTTATTATGGCTAAAACGTGCCTCATCGAAAAAAAAACGGATTTGGACCAAATCCGTTTCAGGGCTTTTGGCGTCGTCTGCCCATCTGGCTGATGCGCACGAAAACTCTTGAAATGAATATCCGATCTGGTCCAAACTTGGTACATCGTAAGATTATTGTCAAACTTAGATCGAGATTGGAGATGGGGAATATCGGGCCACTCCTTCCGGTATCGCCCCCACAAAAGCTCGAAATTTTCAAAAAAAAAATGTTTTACTGCACAGAAAGAGAAAGGATAATCCGATTTTGCTCCAACTTTGCAAATCCTAATATGTGGATCAGCACTAGGTCAGGTGCGAAAATGGACAATTTCGGGTAATTTAAATTTCAAACAAGTTCCGCCCAAAAAGGATCAAAAATGTCGCACATCTCGATATATCCACCAACTCAAGATCTGGTATGAAGATGGAATATATCGGACCATTCCTTCTGATACCTTCATAACAAAGAGGAAATAAATTGAATAACCAAAACCCTCATAAAATGCAAAAAAAGCATTCGATTACATTGAAACTCGGCGTATCCTGGTATTTCTACCAACCGGAAAAGAACGGACCACTTCTTTTGGTACCTCCCCCACAAAGCTGTCTTGAATAACCAAAATGTTCATTAAATTTTGAAATACGCATCCAATTACTTTCAAACTCGGTGGGAAGATGGAATATATTGGCCCTACTTCTTCTGGTACCTCCCCAAAAAGGGGTCGTAATTTTGAATAATCAAAAAGATCATAAAATGTGAAAGAAGCATTCGATTACTTTCAAACTCGTAACATTCTAATATTTCTATAAAAACTAGACCTGGTGTAGAAATGAAATACATTGGGCTTCCCCTGCCCCACAAAGGGGTCTAAATTTTGAATAATCAAAACGCTCACAAAATACAAAATAAGCATTCGATTGCTTTCAAACTCGGCACATTCTTATATTTCTATCAAAACTAGATCTAGTGTTAAATTAAAATACAACGATCTTCCCCTACTTGTACATCCCCACAAAGGGGTAAAAAATTTGAATAATCAAAACGCCCATAAAATGCGAAATAAGTATTCCATTGTATTCAAACTCGGCACATCCTAATATTTCATCCTGAATGTAGATGGAATATATTGGCCCACTCCTTTTAGGACCTCCCCAAAATATCCGAAAATAAATATCCGATTCTCCTCAAATTTCACGTGCTTCAATATTTATATCAACAAATATCTGGTGCGAAGATGAGATACATCGAGCCACTCCTTTTGGTAATTTCCCCACGAAGGGTCAATATGTTGAAAAACCAAAATGCCCATAAAAGGTGAAATAAACATGCAATTCTCTTCAAATGTTACACATCTCAATATTTCTTCCAAAACAAGATTTGATCTGAAAATTATCGATATCGAGCCACACCTTCTGGTACCTCCCCCAGAAAGGGTCACAATTTTCAATATTTATATATCTCATATCTAGCGAAACAGGTCAGCGATTCTATTCAAACTTGGTATTTTTTTTTAAATATTTCTCTCAGGCAGAGATCTGACCTTATCGGCTAATATTTTCTGGTACCGCATCCACAAAAAATTAAATATATTAATAAAAATTATTCCCATAAAATTGGAAAAAAATATTCGATTTTCTTCAAGTTTTCCACATCGCAATATTTTTTATTTCCATTAGATGAACTGTATACCTGGAACCTCAGACACATGAAAAATATTTTCCAAAAATTATCACAGATCTCATATGAAGTGAAGGGAAGTAGTCGATATAGTCCAAATCTGGTAGGTTGTAATATATATATAAGGCATACGTCAAATATGAAATTGCCAATATTGGACCATTCCTTCGAAACCTCCCCATAAAGGGTCAACAGTTTGTAAAATCATAAGTGAAGCCAAAAAAAAAATTAAAATAAATGAATATTGGCTGACGGTATACATCTGTCGAAAAAATTGACTGATACTTTTGAACATGTTAATTGAGAATTTATTCGGATTTTTTATTTTTTTTTTTTTTTTCAACTAAAAACTATTTTTACACCTATTTTTCCTCAGGTATCCATCTGGGTTAATTCAAGAATTTTTGTAAAAAAATAGTTTTTTTTTACCTCAAGTTCTTAATCGGCTATTAAATGCCATTTAACTCCACAAATGCCCCATTTAAATTTCAAACAAGTTCTTTTTCTTCAAATTAAACAACAAATATTAAACGAGAAAAAAGAGTTGTTATAACCATTGTTGGCAACAGTGGTAAACCAAATAATGTTGTTGTTGTTGTTGATGATGTTTTTCCCTCTCTTTGTGTCAATGCTGTCGCTGTTGTTGCCGTTGTTATTAAGGAAGCGATAACTTACAATGTTTACAAGCAACAAACCGGCAGCAGCAAACAATAAAAAACCGCCAGTTAAAAAAAAGACATGTAAATAGATGACATCTTCCGCAGAAATTGAGGAGAAAATCCCCCACCAACAACACCATGGCGAAGAAGAAGCAGAAAAACAAACAACAAACAACAAACACAACTGAATTTACATTTCTCCCCCAAACCCCATCAAAGTCACCAAACACCAGCAACAACAACTCTTTTATTTACATTCAAATGTTTTGGGGAAACCAGTGGTAAAATGCGTCCATCAGAGACCCCCAAAACCAGTTCTCTTTTCTCCCTCCCAAAAAAAAATTTTGTTTTTTTGTTCGGCTAGTGTAGCCAAAACAGTAGCACAACGGGGAGAAACAGAAAACAACAACATTTGAACAGAGTATTTGTATTTGTTGTTGTTTGTGTGTGACTGTTTTCAAATAAGACAACATTGTCAGGTCTGTTTGGTTTAAACTCCCCTTTCGTGTTTTCAAGGAGAAGGTAAACAAAGTAGGGGCGTAGCCGTTTATCATTATTGGAGGGGGACATATCTAGCCCCTGGGAAAATACGAAAGTCGGAAGGAATCGACTCTGTCATACTCTACGCCATCTGATTTCAAGGGAAATTTGAAAATTTGCAGAATTGGATTTTGTAACGATTTTGGGAGGACCAAGTAAAACAAAAAATAAGTGAAACAGTTTCAGTGGGTTTTTCTGACAGA